GCAGGAATCCTGCCCTCAGCTCACGGTCCTCGAACATAAATCAATGTACCAAAAAAAAAAAAATCCTCCTCCTTTTCCATTTTCATACCTCCAGAAGTGATAGTTCAGTCAGGGTTAGTTCAACTGAGACGGAAATGGAAACTTCAACAATAATGTTAGGATTTGTTACTGTTGTTAAAGTTATTTCCTGACAGATTTAAACGTGAAACCATAGAAGATTATTGTCAACCGTTGACTTCAGTCGGAGTGACAGCCGAACAATACCACCACTAACGCCTTGGTTACCGGTGGTTGATCCACAGCACTTATCTGTATCAGATCTTCACACACGCACAGGTGTGTTTGTTGTTGAAGTGTCGTGTTTGGATTTAAAAGACTGAATGGGTTTGATGTTCTGACACAAGAGAAACACTTACAACAACAGCGTTCCCAACGGTTCTGAGAGTGGAACGTCAGTAATCTGAGTTTAATCTGAGTTTAATCTGAATCAAGTGATCTCGCCCCAAAACGTACACGTCGGCCCAGCTTTAGTTCAGCCCTCGTCGCCCCCCACTGGTTGTTTGAATACTACAGTTCTCTGCAGTGAGAGCAGCTACGACGCGTTGACTACGTTTGAGACGTAAAGACAAAAACACACACACGTTCAATGATCACGCTGCAGTAACGACCAGGAGCCGAGAGTACCTCGAAGTACTCTGGTGTCTGAGAGAGTGAGTGTGTGTGAGTGTGTGTGTGTTTCTAACTAGGTCAGCCAATGGGCTGTGAAAGTCATCCAGGTGGATCCAGAGGAGAGTGAAGGTGAGAATCAGGGACAGACAGGGAGGAGGCAGCGTCGGTCCTGGCTCGACAGTCCGTCGTGAAGGAAGTTATTAGTGATGTTAGTTTTGTGTTGCATCATCCTGACGCCACTTAATGTCACAGCTTATTAGAATTAATTACACGATTAATTACACGGCCCATCAGCGACCGGAGGGAATGAAGATGCTAATTGTGGATATTTACCTCTTCTGCTGTCCAAGAAAAAAACAAAAAACAAAAAAAAACGCCAAAGTCAGAGCTGTTGATCCGCTGTAGCTGAAGCCTTTTATCATAACAGGGTTTTTGACCTGACACACTGTCTGAGAAGTACACAAAGTAATAAGGGTTCCAAATCTGACACTTTGGAAAACTGGAAATAAGAGTCAGTGCCAACGAGCAAGGCAGTAATTAGAAAGTAACTGTAACTTAAATTCAAGTCTGCAGTCTCAAATCAAAGTGCTTAAATATCTGGTGCTGGAGTCAAAAACAGACCAGGTCCAGAATGTCCGTGAGGTCCAGTAGGACAGAATAAAGGACAGTGTCTTCTCAAATACTAACCCCAAAGTCTTCAGTTAAAAACCATCGAAAAACGAATTCCAAATGTTTTCAGGACATTTACTGTGTTGTTTTCCCTGATCCCGTGTCGGTTGTGGGTGTGATCATCACCTGGTTCTCATACCATCAACCCTCCTCTAGCCTGACCTCCTGGGATGTAACTGTACCAGATGCCGTTGCAGTGGCGCTGAGATAAAGTCACGAACACTGAGCCAATATCAATCCTGACATGGAATACGCTGCTGTCACCCTTTGATCTTCACAAAAACGCCACAGGCAAAAAAAAAAAATCCTTCAAGGAATTCCCACTAAGGCAATTATCCCAATTATCCCAATTATCCCAATTATCCCAATTATCCCAACCAGGGTAATTTTCATTAACCTTTTGTTTCCAAAACCCTGCGTTAGTATCAGGTGCTGCAAACGCTGGTTGATGATGGAGGTGGAGGGACGGGGAGACACAGAAAGAGAGTTGACTTCCTGTCTTTCACTAACAACTGCGGTGTTTGAGGGTAAACAGCCGGCGGCAGAGTGACAACAGCAGAAACAAACAACCATCACAAATCTCATTTCCTCAGTAAGAGGAAGCAAAACTGGAGCACGAGTTCTTGACGGGAGGCAGAGGAGGAGATGTTCTCCTTCTCTTTCAAGTCTCGGCTGTTTTTTCTCACGATTATATAAATTAAATTAAATATGAAATAAGTCGATGAGAGTCATTAATTTCTGAGTAGTAAAAAAAAAAAGGCACAGCCGTGTGGAGCGGTCACGTAGACGTCTGGTCGTCAGTCACGTCATTCACAGGAACAGTCTATTTATACGTGAACGTTTTTCCTTCTTCCTTATTCTGTAGTTCTTTATCTGTCTGTAGTGGAGAACAACAAGTACGCTGCTACGCTGACGATGTGACGCTAACGTTCTGTGACTACTACCGACCTGAACTGAAAAATTACTGAAAAGTGGCAAAGATTCCCAGAGATTCTGGGAAGGTCAGAAAGAAATGAAAGTAAAAACTATGCAAGAACAAAATAAACTGTCAGCATCAAAAGTCACTGTGAACAGCTACGTCTTGTGCTTGATGCCTGCGCGATACTACAGGGGTCAGCGTTGGTGTTTCACGGTCACCGTCACCTCATTATTACTGAACTGCTGAACTTTAACAGCTTTGAAATGATTTTCTAACGTGGCGTTTCTGTCGGTCTCCACAGGACGATCCTCTCCCTCCGTCGCTGGTCGACCTGGTGAGGAACTCACCCGTCTCCTCCTTCGAGGACCTGAAGCTGCTGCTGCAGCAGGAGACGGCCGCTTTAGGTTGGTCTGACCCAAACACACACACACACACACACACACACACACACCTCTTGGTTCCTCTCCTCTCTAATATGTAGTGCTTCTGCATGTGTGTGTTTTCTAACAAAGTTCAAACGCGGGCTGAGCATGAGATTAAAAAGGAGACGAGATTTTAAAACTTAATCTTTCTGAGAACCTCGGATCAACGTGAATATTTAAATAGATCAAAACCACAAAACGTAAATAACACAATGACATAAGAGGCGTCACAGAGGAACCAGCGGAGGCCGAGGAGATGAGTCACAGTGTTGGTGTCAGGAATCCTGACCAGACTTGAGCCAAGATTCCGAGCCGGGCCGTGAATCTTCTCTCCACTCCGTCTGTGATTGTTCAGATTCTCTCCTGGTGTCTTGGCTTTTTGTGTTTGTCACATGTCAACAACAGCCGTGAAACGAGATACACCGGAGTGGTTTGTCAACACAACCGCCAGAGGAAATAATAAAAATGACTTCTGTCATTCATCGCACAAACAGTCGACTCAACTTTCTTAATTTGTGACTGTGATTTATGTCCTGCAGAACTAATGAAGCTGCCGTCAGAGTTTTACAGTCTTTTATAAAACTCTGTCACAGGTGCAGCAGCAGGAAGACGTCGGTGTGAACGCTGACAGTCGTCCTGTACTGTGTAAACTGTTGTTTTTTTGCGGGGGATATTTCTAAGCGTTGTTAGCATGCTGCTGTTACAAAAATATTTGTAACACGATAATATTAATAACACATTCACCTAAATATTTTATTTGACCGCACGATAATATTAATAACACATTCACCTGTTTTGTTTTTATTTTGGAATCTACACCGGGGGGGTTTAATTTGGACTACAGGATGAAATGACACGTTAAATTTAACCAGCCTTATCACCGTCAGTGGTATTTCTGACAGCAGTCTTGACAAATTGCTGCAGAAAATAGCCTGATTGTTTTGGTGGGAGGAGGAAAACGACTTCCTTTGTGTGAAGAACAGCGAGGTCGGATAAAAAAAAAAAAAAAAAAAAACGGTCCAAACCGACCTCGTCTGTTACGGAATTCTCTGCTAATGGGTTCATGTGCTGCTTCAGTGGGAGTTTCACTGAATAAATACTAACTTCCACTGTGACTCTCTGTTTCACCCCCCCTCAACCCCCCCGTCCTCCTTCCCTCCTGTTGGTTTCTGTAGGTGAAAAAGAAGACGAAGACGAAGACGATGATGATGATCACGATGTTCTAAAAAACCACAGCAGTGGCAGATTCGTCAGGAGTCTTGGTGAGTTCCACATCCGTTTCTGTCCCTAATGGTTTTGGTTTTGAGTGTTACTCATCTGCTGCTGAATCCCCCCCCCCTCCCCATACTCCCCCCCTCCAGTAACAGTGAATGCGGAGGAGGCTAAGCCTGCAGCGTGTAAACCTCGGACGGAGGTGATGGAGGTGACCAGGTCCATGCTGGACCGGCGTAACGCCGACTTCCTGTTGTTGCCGTACTGCGTGGAGGTTCAGAGATGTTCAGGCTGCTGCAACACCAGGCTGATAAAGTGTGTCCCTGTTCGCACAACCACCAGACACCTGAAGGTACGCGGTACGCAGTACACCACAAAACCTCATACTAAAACTGGAAAAGTTCCCAAGTTCACCAGTGCAGGATTTTTAAACTCATTTCTCTCAAGTAAGTAGTACTGAAGGAAAATATGTGTCACAGTATAGTCCTGGACTCCACCCTGGATAATGATAACAGGCAACTTATTATTAACTATAATTGATCAAACTTTATTCTATTGCGTCACAGAAAAGGTTATGAATGATAATTTGTTATTGTAAAGGTCAGAGTAGTTCTGCTGAGACAAAGGACACGCCACTGAGCCGCCGCTGAAAAACCTTCATTATATTTCAATCACAAAATGATCATCAGTGACATATCACTGAAACCAACAACAACATGTGTGTGAGTTTAACTGCACATACATTTATTTGACCACGACAAACCAAACCACGTCCATGAGCGTGTTTCCTGCTCTGATTCCAAAGAGAAAATCATTTGTTTTCATAATATCGTTCCTAAAGTTGAGTCATTAAATGTTTGTTTGTAACTTTTTTCTTTTCTAACATTTTTTCCTCTTTTTCTCCAGGTAACAAAGATGCAGTACGTCAACAAGAAACCTCACTTCACGAAGGTGATCATCTCTGTAGAGGATCACACCGCCTGCAACTGCGTGACTGTTTCGTCCTCACCCCCCCCTCTGACTCCGTCCAATCTCAACCCCCGTCCACCTGCACCACAGCAGCCTCAAACTGCTCACCCTGCCCGGCCGCCGAAGACCCACACCTCCAAAGCCGTCCTCCATCGCAACGATGACCTAAAGTATAACCAACAGCACCACCTGTCGGAGGAGCGGGAGCCGGCGGTCAGGCAGTGGCCGCAGGGCAGCGTCACCCAGTTGGTGCACTGGACACAGCCTCGGCTGCCCCAGCCGCCCACCCACGTCCAGTCTGGGGTTCACCAGCCGATCGCCGAGGTTCCCCGATCCGTTGGCAGCTGGCCGTCGGAGGCAGGAGCGGAGATAAGCGTCCTGGGGAGTTCACCGATGGTGCCAGAGAGCGGGGGGAGCCGTGAGCAAGGCAGCGTGCAGGGGGCAAACAGCGATGGGAAGGGACAGGACAGTGACCCTGCCCGGAGGCATCAGCAGCCCCCGCCCCCGCCCCACGTTCCAGGAGTTCATGACCAAGAGCTGAGGACACAGTATAGACTCAATGGTCCTCCGTCAGACAGTTCCTCCACTACAGGACCACCCAAATCAGTACTGGACCCCGCCCACTCTCCGACCCCACACCAGAGGAACTTGCCGACCGTCCAGAGACATTCAGAGGACACGAGTCCACCACAGACTAAGACTAGAGACAGCAGTCAAAAAGCAGGGGGCGAGAGGGAGGACAGCGGCTCGGCCAATAGCGGGGACTCTGCCGGGGCGGAGTCGGCCGGTCAGGGGAAGGAGAGCAACGATGGTCGTTTCACAGAGGAGGCGAGACGGCAAAACCTGAACGAGAAGGTCCAGAGCGAACAGTCTCAGCAGGGACCAAAGCTGCCGACATTCAGAGAAGGTAAAAACTCAGCTGTGTGAGACGGTGTGTGTGTGTGTGTGTGTGTGTGTGTGTGTGTGTGGTTCTGAGGAGAACTGAACGCGGCTAGAGTCAAAAGTTTCCACAAATTCAGAAGGATTATCCTACAAAAGTAACTTGTTGGACTGGGTGTGTTTACATTGTTCACAGTTCGCAGCTTAACCTAAAAGTCAAAACAGCTCCGTGCCGCGGCACACATGAGAGGAGTTATTGGCCGTGTTTCACCCAGGGCTAAAAGTCAAGCTCGACAATGACAGGTCTTTACACACTGCTTTGTTTCTGCTTGTTATTCTGCTGTTAGTTCACATGGATCCAGTCAATACAACATTTAGTAATAATGAGGAGAACGCTGCAAAACGTTCAGACCTCAGGGTTCTTTTAGGATTGTAAAGATAACAGACTTCCATAATACATGGAAGTTAACCCCCCTCCCCCCCAAAAAAACAACCCTATGAGTAAAAGATAATAATTTCAAATGAGGAATTTTTACAATGTCTTAAAATACTTATAAAATACTTGGCGTGTACTGAACTGTACTTGTCGACACCTTGATCTGGTTTCATATTTCGCTGTAGGGTTTTTACCCAGTGTTGTGGAAGAAAATAATTTTCCTTCAAACAAAAGCTAAAGCTTTAATCTGTTTTATACATCTTTTATGTAAATCTATACATATCACTTAAACACGTGAAGTTGTCATTTGTGTGTCAGTTGTCTCGTCTTCCGTTCACTGAGACTTCTGTCTTGGCACCGTTTTCCCTTCACTCATTCAGTGCCAAAAAAAACAGTTTAAATTGTAGCGCTGTAGGGCCACAGAGCAGGTGGGCCACAGAGCAGGTGGGCCACATGTTCAGCCCAGACCCTTCACACCGCAGCTCATGTACCACTGGTCTAGAAAACCATTTCTCAACTCCGGACAAACCCTTATTCCTCGCCTGGTTCCCCTTTTTTTTTTGGTAATCTAGTCTGTTCTCTGGTCGTCAGTGAGTTCATGTTCCGCTCAAATTTACTTCAAGGGAAATTCTTCAAATGCACAACTACAACCAAATTTCTGTCACATCTCTGAATCGATCAAAGTTGTTACGTAGGTCCTTCATCTCCAACGTAATCCTTTGGACAGTCAGGGGGGCGGGGGGGGGGAGGTAATCCCAGCCATCAGTTGATGTCAGTAGGGTACACGCTGGACTAGTGTCCAACATACAGCCTCCAACAACCATTCACACTCACCAGGGAACCCGGATGAAAGCCCCGCCCACACGGAGAGACCTTCGTACCATTTGACAATCAAGCCGTCATCGACACATTGAAACGTTGCTTGTTCGCTCTGTGCGTGTTGGCACGGTTCCACGTGCACTTGTTTAGAAGATGTTAGGAATGTATGACATGGTTTTACTTCACTTCACTAACCCCGCTCCCGTCTGTCTGTCTTCATCCACAGTACCAGCCAAGTCTACTTCGGCGCCAATCATATCGTCTGCACATCAGGCTCCTCCCCGTCCTGCCTTGCCTCGAAGCAGGAGGAAACACCGAAGGCGCATCAACAAAGCAGCCCTCAGAGCCATGATCATGTAAGAGCGCAGGTGAGACCAGATGACCAGATGAAAGGAAATACTGGGGCAATTCTGTCCATAGGAAGGAAACAGGACGACAGGAAAGGCCGCGATTTAACAGACACGCGACTGCACCGTCAATGACTAAAACGACAAAGTTAAGCCGTGTACTCCCCAGTATCCGTTGTCTTATATCCAGTACTTTCTTACTCCAACTTCCAGCTACACTTTAAATGAAGAATGAACCAAAGTTTACGCCTTATTTAGAAACGTGTCAGAACAAATATTCGTCTTCCAGTTTTACACTACTTCACATTTAACCCCTAATTATTGCAGAGAGGAAGTTTTTAAATAGTTGGCTTCGACGAGGCACTCTCATTTCTCTGTCACGAGGCGTTTGCGTCAAAACTCATTGTAGTCCCCGCTGAAGCCCCGCCCTTTTGTTCTGACTGTTTATGTCTTGCTTTTCTTTTGCAGAGGACGGTAAAGTTCAGGAAAGATTCTCGGGCCTGACTTCCTGACAGATGGAGAATGTTGAATATTGAACTCTGTGGAGATATTCTGAGGAGCCGACAGAAGTGAAGGACACTGCTGCTTTTTTCTTTTTTTTTTAACGGACAAGTTCAGTCAACATTTCCTTTTCCTGCTTCTGAGCTGCTGTACAACATCCAGCGTCGAGGAGAATTCAAGAATAAAGTGCAATCTAACGATAAACTGCATTAACACTGGATTTGAACTGTAAAAAAAAAACAGAATCCTGGATCCATGGACGTTCACGCTGAGCTCAGAATGTCACTGGTGGCTAACTGATGACCCAGATGTCCAACTCAACTACTGATTGGTGGAGCTGCCGATGACTTGGACTTTGAAGTCGGGATTTTAAAGAAGCTATGAAAAAAGAAAGTGGGAAAACTAGATTTCTACAGCGGGACTTTAACTGGAAACAGAGGGAATTTATTTAGGGCCTCGACGCCAAAATTTACTGTTAACTCACAAAGTAAGGTTATCTAACACTGGAGTAGCCAAACACTGATCGTACGTCTGTGACTTTAGAAAAACTCTGCCGCCTACTGTAACGTCACGTACTGGAAACTATCAATAATCCGCTCCTTTTGTGCTGCAGCCCGTTCGAACGGATGAACAAACGTTTGCCTGCCTAGATAGTGTGCTATGAATATCCACATTAAAGCCAGTCTCCAAGTGCAGACTTTAGAGCTTTGCCGTGAGCCAGTTATAGCCGACACTGTATGTACAAACGCTACTAGAAACTAATATCCTGGAGACTCAGAGAAAAACTAAACTTTATTTCCTAACTTATTTAAAAGATGAAAAATAATAAGAGAAATTCAAGAATTCAAGTGTAATTATTGTTGCCGACATGTTTCAGGATATAATTATTGCTTGTATAACTGTTACTGTAATGAATGTTATTTTTAATATAAAATTAAAAAAATTCAACACAGATTTATTTTTGCTATATACATATATCTTTAATTCATTTTAAATGAGTGTAAATATGTTTTATACATTTCTTGATTGTTCAGTTTACACTTAATATATATTTATATATACATATATATATATTGAGGATGTGAGGATTACACTTGAGATTTGCACTTAATAAGGCTTGAACATTTGGTAAAAAGTAGACAAAGTTTTTTCCTCCCTCTAGAACATTCATAGACGAGTGAAAAAACTCACAGCGGTTCGTATTTGTACGAAAAAAATACATTTACAAACAAACTTTCTTTTGGCCTGAAGATTTCATCTGAACAATAATTAGATCGTGATCCACCAGTAGATCTCCACAGAGGGAGTGCTGGTTAATCAAAATAGAATAAAATAAAATATATAAATATAATTCTATAGTGTGTAGTAGTGACCATATACTGTAAGAATTTGTGCCAAAGAGCTTCGTCCATTTAACCAGTACAAAAATATAACATATAATATTTATATAAAGTATATTTACTTTATATATATTTAATGTATTCAGTCATTTCAATAGTAGCTCCTGTGCCAAAAAAGTGTGGACACCCCTGGTGTAGCGGTTAGTGTTCCCTGCCTTACAAGCAGAGGTACCTGGGTTTGATTCCCAGAGGCGCCACCACATCCTTGTGCCATGTGGCAGCCTGTTAGTTGCAACCGCGTACTATAGGTGGCGCCTCGCTGTAAATTTCCCCATTATGGGATGAACAAGGGACTGAATTATTATTGATGATTATGATCAATATAAAAGATCTGACTGAAAACACGTTTGTTTGTTTGACTCATTCGATCTCCAGCTCAAACATTTTGTTGTCAACACAGCTGTTTTAAAAGTGTGTAGTGTGTGTGTGTGCGTGCGTCCTAAAGCCCTCGCACAGTAAACTCCAATCACTAATGACCGATCATCCCACAGATGTGTCACGCAACGCCACTCCGAGGTCAGCACAAATGTCCAGTTGGTATAGCAACTCAGACACATCAACACAGGAGTGTCGTGTGGT